CGCGAGACTCTGAAGCCAAACGGCTGCAGACATCAGAAAGCTGGGACAGGGCTGCTGAGGGCAAACGCGAGACTCTCCCACCGGGCCTCGGCCACTGGCCCGGTGCAGGGGACGCGCCAGAAGGGGCCAGCAGCTGTCACCCTGACTCAGTCTTCTCCCGGTAGGTCCAGGGAGAGGAAAGGCATGCCAAGTCCCAAGTCAAAGGGCACCTGAGCCTCGGGGTCTGTCCTGGCGACCACTTGGTGGCCGCACTGTGGCTCACCAAGCAAGTTACCTACCATTCGGCCGCTGGACGAACCAGTCGCTGTGTGACAAGCTACGCAACCTCTCTGGGCTCAAGGGTAGGCATAACTACTCCCGAAAGGGTGCCCTAAGTCCACCTGACTTAATGACTCGGAACCCACCCCTCGCCCGCGCGAGCCTGTACAAACGCGGACGAAGCAACGTGGACCAGGAGCTGGAAACCACTCAGCGAAAGGTCACACCTCGCTCACGCAGGGGAGGCGACAGCGCGAGGGGCGGGGTGTCACGGCAAAGGCGGGTGAGCTCCCCGCAACAGGGACAGGAAGGCGGCCACCCCGGAAGCGCGCTCGCGGGCCGAGGGATCTCCCCAGCCTCGGCGCGAGGCCTCCGCGCGCCGGTTCGGAGTCCCTACCGCCGCCGCCCGCGCGCGCGCCCGCCTGGAGCCAGCGCAGCCCAGGCCTCGCTCCGCCGGGGCAGGCCACAGACAAAGCGCGCGGCGTCTGGAGGCGGCCTGCGCGGCCGGGACGCGGCGGGGACCCCGGGCCGGGGCGGACCCCGCACGTACCCGGGAACCTCGTGCCCTGCCGGCAGTTCCCAGGCGCTCGCCGCCGCCCGAGCGAGAGCAACGACTAGGCCCGGCCGCCGCTGCCGCCGCGCGCTCCTCGACCCGGAAGTGCACTGAGCCGGCTTCCGGGACCCGGCAGCCCCGCCTATTGGCGGGAACCACTGGGACGAGGAGAGGAAGTGCGGCCTGAAGCGGAGGAAGACGCCGCTCCCCGCGGTCGGGAGTATGGAGGCGTTGGGAACACTGTTTCTTCCTGGACGAAAGCCCAGCAGGCCAGTGTCCTAGGGAATTTGTGGTGTTTCAACTCCCCGCCGATGGGCTGCCCGGGTCTCCCCCACCGCGCGCGGCTGGTGCAGTCCGACCCTCCGCCCGCAGCCCAGGGCGAATGGGAGCGGCCTTCGGGCACACCTGGGCCACGCCCCCAGCCCGACCCGGCCCCACCCCCGAGGGCGAGGCCCCGCCCCCGAGCGCTGGCGGCCCGCCGGCGGCCCGCAGACTGCCCGGACCACACCTCGAGGGAGGCCTGAGGGTGCGCCCGGGACCTGCACCTCTTCTCCGTCCGTTCACTCGTGGGCCAAGTAGCGATGCGCGCGGCTTCTCCAGGAGCGGGGCGCCGCGAGTCCCGCGCGGTCCACACCCAGAGCTCGGGGAATCGCGTGGTGTGTGACCGGCTGACCAGTACCGTGATAGATAAGCCGGGTGGGAGCCCGGCGCACAAGGGTGACGGGGACGGACCTGGCGAAGACCGGAGGCTGAGAGCGCGGACAGAACGAGCGCGGACAACAGAAGGGAGCCGGCGGGGCTGGGCCAGCGCGGGCCGTGCCCAGAGGGCCCGCGGTGAGCGCCTGGGATCCGGGGCGCTGGAGCCAGATGACACGATGTCACAGGATCCCCTGGGCGGCCGCGTGGGAGCAAACGAGCCGCCAGGGCGGACCCCAGGAGACCGGTCCGCAGGCCGCTTCCGCGACCCCCGTTCCGCGACCATCGTGGCCCGGGTCAAGACGGGCGCCATGCTCATGGGAGGCCCCCCGGGAACCTGAGACGCACATTTGGGACATCCTGGAAGAGACCTTGCATGGACAGCTGAAGACTAGAGTTGGGCAGACGCTCCGCTGGAGATAAAAATGTAGGGGTTGTGCTGGGGGGTGGGGCGGAACAGCGGAGGACCAAGGCCTGAACCCCAGGCCTCCTGCGTACGGAGATCCGGAACCTGCAAAGGAAACCGAGGAGGAGCGCCAGGGTTGGGGCTTCCAGAAGCCAGTGAAAGCACGGCAGGGAGAGGGCCTGGGTGGAGCCAAGGCCACGGGGACCTTCAGGACAGCAGCCCTGGGGGCAGGGCCGGGCGGCCGGGCGGTTAAGGAGAACCGGAGGCCAGTAGCCAGACAGCAAGCACCAACAAGCCTGCGCTGCGCAGCTAGTGCCTCTGTGGCACAGGGAGGCACGGGTGGAGGTAGCCGAGGGGCGAGTCCGGTGCTGGGGGGGCGGTGCTGATTTATGTTTTCTGTTTACTCGAGAGAGGAGAGCCTGCTCCCAGGGTCTGTAAAGGACTCTGCAGGAAGGAAGAGGGCAAGGTGCCAGGGAGCCGGGGGACTCCACAGTGACCCCTCTCTGTGCACCGGGAGGGTTAGGTCTGGAGGGGGTAGACGGCCCGGCACAAAGCCTCTTGGGTGTCACCCAGGCCAGGCACCTGAACCCAGGTACTTGGGCTCCAAGCATATTGGTCATGTGACCCCCCAGGAGGGTTTCTCAACCTCTCTGTGCCTCAGCGTCCTTGGCTGCAAAACAGGGATGTTGAGGGAGGACGGATCAGTATGGGGACAGTGCTTCCGGTAGGGTAGGGTCCAGCCTGGCAAACACCTTGCACAGGCGCCCCCGCCCCCCCGCCCCCCTTGGCACTCAAAATGTGCCGGCCCTTGTACACACGCATGCCTACCTGCCGAAGACTATGAAATGTAAGGACACTGCCCAGGAGAGTGTTCCAAATGGAATGCCGAAGCTCCTGGGAAGGAACTAGACAAGCAGCTTATGACCAACTTGGAGTGCCCTTGGAGGGGGGCCAACCCCTCCCCACTTCATTGGCAGCTGTTCCTGGGGACTACTGGGAAATTGTCACAATAAATGCACAAACCCACGATGAGATGCAAAGCACACTGCCCTAGCAGGCATCCTTGAGCAGTGCATGCCAACCTGTGCTCAGATGGGAGACACCCCCAGGAAACAGCCCGGAGCCACTGGTCTGGGCCCCACCTGAGCACAGGTGGTATCCCTAAGACCACAGACATGTATCTGTGCCTCCCATATACTGATGCCCCCCACAAGCTGACACACATGCCTTATCCTCCCCCACATGGGGGCACCTTCCATGTATACCCCCATCACCCCCATCAGCACTGTCACCTCTGGTGCTCCCTGACCAGCCACCCACCTGCCACCCTTCCACAGGCTAGTGCCACACAAAGATGCAGTGTGCACCCTGCCCACTTGCCCCTCACAGACCTGCCCCCGGAAGCCTTCGAGGTGTTCGCGGTGTGTCCTGGCCACCTCTGCTCCTGCTCCCCACAGGCACGGGCAGGCAGCTCTCCTGAGCACAGGAGGGTAGAGCCAGGATGGGAGCCTCCTTGGTTCTCTGCAGCCCAGGCCAGCCCTTCCCTGTCACCAGACCTGCACACACACAGGCCTGGAGCTGGAGGAGGACCCTCGCAGGAAGCTCTGTGCTGGGGCCGCCGCAGCAGGTGACCACAACCGAGTGGCCTGAAACGACAGACGTCCAAAGTCAAGGTTGGCAGGGTCACGCGCCCTTTAAAAACTGTAAGAAGATGACAGGGGTTCTTTCACATCCTAATAATGTTTTACATATGTGCATAGTAATTTGGGAAAAATAAAACACTAAGGAAAAAAATCTGTAAGGAGAATCCCGTCTTGCCTTTCCTGGGTCTTGGTGCTCCGGGCTTCCTTGGCTTGTGGCAGAATCACCCTGGTCCCCGCCTCGGTCCTCACACGGCCATCTCCCTGTGTTCCTGTGTCTGCCACCTGTCTGTCAGAAGTCCACGTGCCACTGGGTTTCCAGCCAGCCTGCGCAATCCAGGGTGATCTCTTCTCAAGACCCTTAACTTGATCACATCTGCAAAGACCCTTTTTTTTTCAAGTAAAGTCATGAATATATCTTTTCTTTTTAAAGATTTTATTTATTTTAGAGAGAGGAGAGGGAGAGAAATATCAGTCGATTGCCTCTCACCTCCCACAAGCTGGCCCACAGCCCGGACATGTGACCTGACTAGGAATCAAACCAGCGACCTTTCGGTTCACACGCTGGAACTCAGTGCACTGAGCTACACCAGCCAGGAGTGAACTTTATTTTTATTTTCATCTTTATTTTTAATTAAACATTTTTTATTCATTGTGCTATTATGGTTGTTTCACTTTTTTTCCTCTTGCCCTCCGCCCAATACCACCATTCCCTCAAACAATCCCCCCCTTACTTCACATTCATGGGTCATACCTAGGAATTGTACATATGAGTTCTTTGGCTTCTTCATTTCCTTTACTATTCTTAACATCCCCCTGTCTGTTTTGTACCTACCAATTATATGTCTTTTTTTTTTTTAAGATTTTATTTATTGTTAAAGGAGAAGGGAGGGAGAGAGGGAGGGAAACATCAGTGGGTGGTTGCCTGTTGTATGCCCCCTACTGGAGACCTGGCCCACAACCCAGGCTTGTGCCCTGACTGGGAATCGAACCACCAGCACTGTGGTTCTTAGGCTGCCACTCAATCCACTGAGCCACACCTGCCAGGGCCGAATATATCCTTTTGAGGGGCCACCCTTGAGTCCACTACAGAGGGTGGAAAGGGGTGCATTTGGAGCTGCCAGGACTAGGGACACAGCTGGGGGTTGTACCAGCAGGGCAAAACAGGACCTGGAAGTCAGCCTGAGTTCTGGCCTCTGCATGTCCCCAAGCCCCAGACTTCTGCCCTGCAAACCCCTGCCTTGTGTGTCTACCCCCAGCCCTGCCCTGCCCTGAAGCAGTGGGCCTGCTCAGGGATCCACACGACCTAGGCCTTGATGACCCCTCAACTTCTGACCGGGTGGAGCCAGGCCACTCCTCACTCTGCGCTCCTTCCCCACCCACAGGTGGCCACACCCCACAATTCCCTGCACCGACTTCACAATCCTGAGGTCCCAGGCAAGGGGAGATGCCTCCCTGGAGCCCCAGCACGGAGCCACCGGGTGAAAGTTCTGAAGGAAGAAGTGAAATGACCACGGTGGAGGGAAGGGTGCGGGAGGGGCCCGCGTTGGGTTCACAGCAATCGGTGGGCTCCAGCCCCGGCTCGTGTGGGCTGCAGGTGAGTCATGGGCTGGGGAGGACCAGGAGGGAGGGCTGAAGGAGGGCGGCCAGGGGGCCAGGGTGGCTCAGGCTCTCGCCCTGGGGCAAGGACTACAGTGACAGGCGGGAGCTGAGGAGCCCTTTGGAGCTGCCTCCGTCAAGCCAGTGGAGTCACCAGGGAGGGCCAGGCTCTGGGGCAGGCGCCAGATACTGGTTGATTTGAGGGAGGTGGGATAAGGGAGCTTTTTCTGACCTTGGAGGGGGCACAAAAGGCTTATGAGGACCCCTGTGCCAGGAAACAGGGGGAGCAGGTACTCCTCTGCCTAATTAGGGGTCTGCATGACCCGATTCCGCCTCCCAACTCAGCCGTGGAGACGGAAGAGGGGTGTGAAGACAAGGGCGCTAGTGCCAAATGTCCCTTGGCTGCCACCTCGGGGGCTCCACCCAGGAGTCAATAACTCCGGGGCTGAACCAGTCCGTTTCCTTGATTTATACCTTTTCAGTTCTCGGACAGGACCGGGCAGCGCCGGGAGGAGACCCAGCAGGACCCCGCACCCGCGCTCCGGCTCGGACTGCGAACCTTCCGTGGTGACAGATCCCACGGGAGGGCTCTAGGGCGCTCAGGGCCAGTCCGCGGGGTTGCGGGCAAACCAGGCGGAGCCGAAGCTCGCACCCCACTCTGTCCCGCCAGCCAGACAGCTCGGGGTGGGCGCGGGCGGCGCGGGCTCTACGTGCGTCCCCAGGCTGAGGCCCCTCCTCGGTCCTGACCCGGCTACGTGCGCGGAGTCCCGCGGGTTCCCTAGGAGGATCCGGCCCCCGCGCGGCGGGCAGGGGAACAGCGCCTCGGGCCGTACCACCCGGCCAGACCCGCGGGGGAGCCGCCCGCGAGGCGGTAGCAGGGCGCCCCAGGCCCCGCCCGGCAGGTGGCGGCCCCGCCCAGAGGCCGACGTGCGGAAAGGAACGCGCCGGCCGCGCCCGCAAGGGGCCGCGCGGCGGTGGGCGTGGCGTCCGCACCCCCCTCCCGCCCACTGGCTGTGGCGCGGCAGGGCGGGCCCAGCCGGGCGGACGATTGGCTGTCCTGCTCTCACATTTGCATAGGGGCTGGGCGCTGGACGCGGGCTCCGGGCCTTGGGGGCGCGAGGGGGCCGCCACCGAAGTTGGGCCGAGGGCCGGCGACGGTGCCGCGCCGGGATCGCAGGTGACGCGCTAGGGGTCCCAGGCCCGCGGGCGGGGGCGCACCCCAGAGGCCGCCCGCCCCTGACGGCTGCAGGGGCTTGGACGCCCAAGTTGGAGGGGAAGGAGGGGTCGGGGTGCGGAACGACCCCTCCGCCTGCTTGGCGGTCCCTCCAGGCGCAGGGCAGCCACTGCCCACTGCACACTGCGCTGCTCCGGACCCACTGTGCGTGTGACAGCGGCTGATCTGTTCCTGGGCAGCGCGACCGCCCCGGCCCCTCTGTGACCCTGCTCTGTCGGGCAGGGGTGGCCACAACAGGCAGGGAGAGGCCACGCCGCTCGGAGGGGGCGCCCCAAGGGGGAGGGGCAGGGCGCCCCTACGGGAGGGTCTGCTTGTTTGCGTCCAGCAGACGCCCAGGGGGATGGGAGGGAACGAAGGGACATTGAGAGGGCTCGGGCTTTACCAGATGCCCTCCGGGAGGGAACTTTGTTTTCCTTGTGTGTGTCAGGGTGCCAGGTTGCGTGGCGTTCCCGGGACGGTCTCTGGACGTCGCCGAGCGGAGAGCAGCCCTGGACAAGCATGGACTGGAGCCTCCAGAACCAACCTCCTGAGGGCCACCTCTGGGAACTTTCTTAAGGAGAACATTGACAGATTTGGCTTTTCTGTGCATTTCTGCCACTTTGGCAAGGACACGAAGGGAGTGAGGACCGCCCGGCCTCATCTGTGGTGCCCAGCAACACGCCCCTCCGAGAGGCCGGTGGCGCTGGCGCAGTCCCGGACCGGACCACTGGGCCCGCCCTCTCTGCTGGGTGCTCTCAAGTCCACTGTGAACATCTGCAGGGCATGGAGTGTGCACAGAGCAGCCGCCAGCAGGCCCGCAGGTGCCTGGATGCCTGCAGCAGGCCCGGCCCCCTCTCCGGGCAGTGGGGGTTGGTGGCTGGAGTCTGCCGTTGGGGGAGAGAGGCCTGAGGGATTTGCATGGACGTGGACTTTTCTTGGAGTGACCCTGTCCTGATGGTCACTGTGGTGTCACACCCAGCAGGTTTGGTAGGGCCAGGTTCTGTCGGTGACAGGGAGGCTGTGGTGGCCTTGTGGGGAACCAGTGGAGCTGATTTACCGACACTGGGCAGCGACTTTCTGTGGGCGACCCCCCGTGAACCCCGGTGTTCTCAGCCAGCCCTAGAGGGTGCTTTTGTGCTGGGGGTGGGAAGGAACTCTGAGGTCATGGGGGCTCCTGTGCTGTCGCCCAACACAGCCTGGCCCCGAAGGGCCGCAGTGACCAGTGGCGATGGCTGCCCCATCCCACACAGCAGCCGGGGTCCTGCCTCAGCTACCTGGGGGGCTGGCCCGGCCTGGCTTGGTCCTGCCCCGCTGTGAACAACGTCTGGGGGAGCAGGGCTTTTCCTCACCTCAGCACGGCTCACGTCATTGTTGTCAATGTACAATTTAAAACTCGAAAGTAAACTTTGCAGCCACTCACAGGTTTGCTTAGTGACCTGAAGTCCTTCTGGCAACGTGGTGGGTGGGACTGTGTGCATCAGAGCAGCCACAGAGGAGGGCTCTGCCCCAGCTCCCACCTCGGCTGCCGGAGGAGGGAACCCCCACTGAAGTGGGCCCCTAAGCTTGCTCAGAGCCAGTAGCAGACCAGGGACAAGCCCCTGGTGGTGGCTTCAGAAGAAACAGGTGTTCCTTGGAAACAGGCGCAGGAGACCACACACGTGTGAGCTGTCAGCTCTGTGCCCGCCTCCCAGTGGGGGCTGGGGAACTTGGTGGAGAAGCTCATGACACTGGTGAGGGTGAGCACTAGCTCCACCGGCCCTGGGGTGCGAGGGGGGGGGTCCCTGGGTGGCACCTGGCTTTGCCCCTGCCGGCCTGTGCATTCCGCGGCTCAGGGCTAGTACCCTGGTCCATCGGGCCTTCCTGAGTGTGGCTGGGGCAGCAGGGGAAGGGAGTGGGCCCCTGGAACCTGTGGTGCCTGCCCAGAGCTCCTACCCTTCCACCCGGGACACAGGCCCCTCAGCCTCTCCAGTCCAGGCTACACTCCATGTGACCTTGTGCTCAGACCTGCCTGGAGCCACAGGCTGAAAACAGGCTGCTGTGAGCTGGGCAGCTGTCTCAGGTGACAGTGTAGACAGCAGTGTGGCTGGACTGAGAGCTTCACGGAGAAGACACCTGGGCTGGGTCCCCCGACACCAAGGTTGGAAGCCTCCTTCTGCCACTCGGCCTGTCCAGCCGCTCCCCATCGTGCTCCAGGAAGCCCCCCGTCCAGGTGACTCTCCGCAAGCTGGGTGCTTGGCTCCGCCGCTCCTCATGCTTAGGACTCCATGGCCCCGGTGGTCTGCCCCAGAGGAAGTGGGGGCACCAGGCCTGATGCCACCCCAAAACTCAGCATAAAGGCCCTGTGGTCGAGGATATCCCCATGCAGCTCCCCAGTACCACCCATAGCTGCACTCCAGGCTTGGACCCCCCCAAGGTCTGGCCATCACAACGGTCTCCCATCTCCGCCACAGCCCTCAAAGCTGGGAGCCTGCGGCCCAGCCCAGGGCAGGACCGACTTGTGTGCCTGCCCTGATTTAAGGCTGCGGGCTCTGGGCAGAAGCTTCATACCCACCCAGGTGGCCGAGCTGGGTGTTGGAGGGCAGGGTGGCCACACCCTCACTGGGCTGCAGAGCTCCCTGGACCTGAACCACCCAGGAATCTGGGGACCCGCCCCCACAAGCTCTTAGACTCAGCCAACCTGACGGGCAGGTCTGGCGTGTCCTTGAGTCCTCATATCCAGGAGCCACCCTCGAGTGGGTGGCAGTTCCTCCTGCTGGTGAGGAGCGGGCCGAGTGGGAGAAGGTCAGGTAAAACCTGCATCAGGAAGGAGGCTCCTTCAGGCTGCAGACTGTCCGGCTCCAACACCGGGCTCGGGCCGCAGAGGGCCCCTGAGGGTAGGAGGCACAGCAGCCTGGAATACAAGGCCCTGGGAGCCCCAGCCTCGGACCCAAGTGACCACTGGCCATGGCAGACCTGATCTCAGGAACCCTGGCCGTGGCCAGCCCCTGGCAGCTCGGGGTCCTCCCCGAGGACCCTGGGTGGAATCTCAAGTGTCAGACCCCACAGACCATGCCTAGTGCCACTTCAGGCGGTTTATTGAGGTTTCAGTGTTGCGGTAGGGGATGCAGCACGCACACACACGTGTACACATGCTCACACACACGTACGTATGTACTGAAGGATACTTTCCACACACAAGCACATCCCCACAGACTGAACACAGCATCTGTCTCCGAGGAGCAGCTATGGCCCTTTGGGGCCTGGCACATCCTGAGCTGGCCACGCCCCAAGCTTCTCCAGGGGGCTTGGCAGACTCGGCAAGCACCGGGATGAGAGTCCTCAGCCTCCCCCTGCCCCTCGCGGCAGAGACCCCAGGATCCTGAGGCGTTCTGTCTCCGAGCCAGGGCACAAGGCTTCCAATGGCATGGGGGCACGAGTCTGCTATGACTGCCGGCTCTTCTGCTGTCCAGCCTGGGCTGGCCTTGGTGGCCCCTGCTCGTGTCATCAGAGCCCAGGACAGGGCTGGTAGTGGACACTCGCTCTGGGGGCAGATGCTGCTACCTCCAGTTCTGCCTCATGGGGGCAACTGTGGAGAGGGCACAGGCTGAGGGGGCTGAGGGACCATAGGAGGACCTCATCCCACCAAAGTGGAGGAGACAGACATACCCTCTGGGCTCAGGCTGGACACGAGGGCAGGACTCCGGGAAGCTCCTGGGAGGGGCTCTCCTCTGGTTGGAGGCATGAGGTCCTGTGGGGGAAAGCCAGTCAGCTTGGAGCTGGGCTGGGCCCCCCACGGCCCCACCTGCCTTGGGGCCACTCTGACCTGCGTGCCAGGGGCGGCCCCCGTCTGCTGGATGAACTGCTGCAGGTTACACTGACGCAGCTCCCGGTTCAGCTCCTCAAGCTCCTGGGCCTGGGCCTGGGGCACACGGGACCCTCAGGGGGCACAGCCATGGGGTTCCAGGACCCTCCCTAGTCTGACCCTGAGGCCAACCCCCAGATCCACCGAGGCAGCGCTGCCAGTCCCGGGAGCTCACCTGGAGGGCCTGCTCTGCAGCCTCCAGAGCCTTGCTCACCAGGGCCAGGCTGCCCTGCACCTCCGCACTCTGCCGTTCCTGGGCGGCCAGGTCCTGGCGCAGGCGCTCGGCGGCAGACGCTGAGGGCGAAGGGGGCCCAGGGGCCTCTGTGGCCAGTTGTAGCTGGGCCTCCAGGGCACGAGCCTGGGCGTCCAGGGCCTGCAGTCGGGCGGCGTGCTCGGCAGTGGCCGCGCTCAGCGCCTGCAGCCGCGCCTGGCCCTCCCTCTCCCGCGCCTGCTCCCGCCGCAGCTCCTGCTCCCAGAAGGCCTCCTGGCCCAGCTCCGCCGCGTTCCTTTGCACCCTCCGCTCCAGGCCCTGCAGGTCTTCACAGCAGCCTGGCATGGGTGCTACAGAGGCCACAGGCTCGGGCAGCGCTGCGCTGGAGGCCGGCCTGGGGCACCCGAGGCTGAAGGTCAGTCCTCTGTGGGACTCACGGCCCAGTGCTGGTCTTGGCTTTGAGGGAAGGCTGGCGCGGATTGGGCAGCGCTCAGGGGGCGGGCAGCTGTCTGAGGAGGGCCTCCCAGTAAGGCTGGGCCCTGTCCGCCTCAGGACAAACTGGACATCACTGGCAAACTGTCCGCAGGTAGCCTGAGCGCCCATTGGACACTCCTGGGGCAGCAGCTGCCGTTCCTTCTCCCTGAGACGCTGCACGAGCACGAAACGGCCCGTCTGGCCTGGGGGGCAGGGGGAGAGGGGTCAGTCTGTATTCCGCCCCCCCACCTGTGTCTGCCTAGGCTGAGGAGCTGGGGGAGGGCCAGAGGGATCAGCTACCAGCCCCACCCTCCCTGGGAGAAGACAGGGCCAGAGGGCCAGGACCCACCCCGGGTCCACCTGTTGGGCCTGTCTGTTCCTGAGGGGACTCACCTATGGCTTGAGCTAGTGCGATGACCACTTCCTGACAGGTCGTGTGCTCCGAGACCCCACAGACCACTCGCTGGATGCCGTCCACCCACACCTTCAGCTCCATCGCCGCAGGCCCAGAGAGCATATCCCTGTCGTGCAGGTTAAGGCCACAGGGTCAAGCCCTGCTTGGCCCTCCTCTGCTGGCTCCTCCTGGCCTGCGCCTCACCCCCAGAACTGGTTTAGGGCTGCCGCCCTGCTCTCTTGTGCCCAGCCCTACCCGCAGGCCACACATTCCTGGGGTGGGGGTAGTCAAGACCAGCCCCCCAAAGGGGGAAGCGATCTGCCTTCCAGGAGCCCTCGGAGGCTTCCCCACCCCGCTTCCCAGCCTCCTCTCGCCCCACCCCTCTCCCGGAGAATCATTAACCAGATGCAGGACTTCCTGCCCCCCCACGCCCCAGTCACCTGGCACGGGAACAGTGCCCCTCCCGCAGGGCGCCGTCCCCAGTCACCTAAGGGCGCTCGTACGCAAACTTGGCAACTCGCTGCCATGGGAACGTACCCTCCCCGGCGACTCACACCTCGGCCCTCCGAACTCACCGAGCCTGGCGCAGGCAGCCCCCTCCCACTCCCACTGATCGCAGTGCTCGCCCCGGAGGCCGTCTCGCCCGCAGCGGGGCGGGCGCAGGTGCGGCGCGGCCCCCGACACACTGCCTGGCTGCTGCGCCTCCGAGTTGCCGCTCGCGCCTGCCAGAGGCCCCGCTCGCACTCAGGAGGCTTCGGGACTCCCGGCGGCTCACCTGGGATCCCGCCGGCCTCCGAGACCAGGACTCGAACCGGTTCCTTCCCAAGCGCCGGGCGCCGCCGCAACCTGCCGCCTCCAGCGCGGCGGGAGCGCCCCTGACCACGACCCATTGGCTCGCAGCCCGAGCGCTCAGCCCCTCCCTTCAGGCCCCTATTGGCTTCTCGATGCGCCCAGCCCACCTAGCGCACACGCCCATTGGTCACCTTCCTTGTGCCCCGCCTCTATCTATTGGCTTCCCGCCGCCCCGCCCCCCAACGAGGCCCAGGTATGGGCGGGGCTAAGCGGCGCGGAGGGGCGGGTTGAGTCCCCTGCACTCACCGCCGAAGCCCGCGAACTACGCGGAAGCGCGTCCGAGCTGGCGGCCCACGGGCGGCGGCGCGTGGGGCAGGTGTCTGACCCCGATCCAGGACCCACTTCCTCAGAAGCCGCCCAGTCTGACGAGTTTCCCACTAGGCAGGGGGCGCCAGCCTGGGACCCCACGAGCCCGCCGCCGCGCAGAGAACCCTTCCCGATGCGCCCCCAGGTCCCGCCGACCCTGCTCCCTCGGGGTCCGCGTCGACAGGCGTGGGCACAGGGATCAGGGGCGGTGAGCCCCCCGATGTGCAGCTGGGGCGCCGCGGGCCCTCTGGCTGCAGCCGGACTAACAGTCCTGGTCGGGGCGGGAGCCCGCTCCGAGGTTGCTGGGGACCGAGGCACCGGCTCTTGGTCGGAGGCTTACTCCCACCCACTCTGTGCCCAGGGGGGCCCGGTGCCCTCCCGAGCTGTGGGCACTGCTCTGCCTGGCCCGCGGGACAGCCCACGCCCGCCGGCAGCCAGGGTCCTCCGCCTCAGCGCTCCCCGTGGGGGCTCAGCCGGGGCAGCGGGCGGTCTCCCGCCTGCGGCGTCCTGCCCAGCACAGGAGGCACCCCCCACCCCCCCATCCACCCAGGGACAGAAGTGGAAAGTCTGAGTAAACGAAGGGCGGAGGAATGAAGGGGGGTGGGGGCAAAGGCTGGAGGGCACGTGCCTTGCTGGTCAGGCCTGGGGCCTCGCCTTTGTTCCAGGGCAGAGGGAACAGTTGTCATGGTGATGGGAGTGTCCCCAGGGGTCCCTGCCCTGGCCCAGGTGGTGGAGATAGGCAGGGGAAGGTGAGGTTTCGGGCTCGGGGTTAGGTAGGCGGGCCTTGGGCACTGAGGGCAGAGGGTAGAAGGCAGTGAGCCCCCACCTCCAGTCGGGCAAGCCCCGCCCCAGCTCCTCCGCCCTGCCCACTGCTGCCCCACCTCCCCGCCCGTCAGCTCAGCGGGGGAGCTCCAAGTCCCCAGGAGGGTGGTCCTGCTGGCCGGTGCGCGCACTGGCAGGGCAGCAGAGACCCCCATGCTCACTGTCCATCTCCACGGTCAGGGTGGGTGGCCCCAGGGGTGCCCTCTGGAATGCTGGGCTGAGCCATGACTGAGGCAGGCCTCGCTGGTCACTCTGTGGTCTCCTGGGCCTTCCCGGGGTTAGTAGGGCAGCAGGTCAACCTCTTATAGCTTCTCCTTCTAGCTGGGGGAGGGGCCCAGCACTCACTCAGGGCCATGGTCTGGGGTCTCCCGGGAGGCTCCTGGTAACAAACAGCCCCTCCCTTCCTGGGAGCTGGTATCCATGGCAATGCTAGGGGCCTTTCTCTCCCCAGGCCTGCCTGGGTTTCAGGCCTCAGGTGAGCGTTGGAGGTAGGGCCCTGTGTCTGGGGGGGGGGGCATGGGTGTCCTGGGTAAAGGACCAGCACCTGTGGGGACCCTTGCTGTAGGCTGGGAGACATCGCAGAACCTGGAGGGCAAGGGTGATAGGGAGGCCACAGGGAATATATGAAAACCCAGGTGACGTGTTGATTGGGGTGTGACCTGCTGCCCTGGCCGGGTCAGACACACACCCGAATGACCCACAGCCAGGTGTCCTGTGGAGCAGACACCCACACCCACACCCACGGGACTCTTGGAGAGGCACCCCGCCGGTGCCGTCTGGGCTCTCAGCCACGCAGACGTGCACGTGGTCACGTGAGGAGGGCCCACACATGGGGCACAGGGCAGACAGCCCCCCCCCCCCGCTCAGGTCCTCCAAGAACATGACGCATGGCCCTGAGTCTGGCCTCGAGGGTGGAGAAGCCAAGGAAGGGGCTCCCTCATCTCTGGGGAACGAAGAGCCAGTCAGGGACCGCCGGAGCCCCCCCGCTGGCACACCTGCAGACCTGGTGGTTCCCAAAGGCCGGAAGGACATCAAGGCCACCCCCACACGAGTGGGCCTGCAGTAAGGAGGGGAGGGAGACATGGTCAGCCTCGCGAGCCGGGCCGGCTAGAGGGCAGGGCCTGGTCAAGCGGCTCGGGTGCTGGCTTTGTAGGTCCGCCCCCAAGGTCCTGGACCCCCACCCACTGCAGCTGCCATTGGGGCAGCGGGAACTGGCTATCCAAGCTCTGCGGTATGCCGTCCAGGACCGACAGGATGCCCGCCACCGCCGCATCCTGCAGGAGGTGGCTGGGCTTCCGCCCGAGAGGTCGGTGGCTGAAGCCGGCCCCCAGCCCCACCCAGCCCTGGCCCTAACTGCTGGTTTCCATCTGACCCCAGCCACTGGGCCTGACCCAGAAGTCACCCTGACCCTGACCCTGGCCTGTGCTGTGCCTCGAGCCCTAGCCTTTACTGGACTCTGATCCTCCATCCTAACCCTGAAAGAGTGGACATGCCTTAGACCTGCCTGGACCCTAAGCTTGAACATGTCTGTGGTGCTGAGCTCGACCTGGGTCCCGCCTCCATCCAGGCCTCCCAGAGCTTGACTGGCCCAGCCCAGAAGCACTGGGGGCCCTTGGGCCCCTGCAGCTCCTCTCCTTGGCTGCTTACCCAGAGGTGGGGGCCACTGAGATCGCCCCTTCTCCCAGGGGCCCTCACAGTCAGGACAGGTTCCTGCGGGCCCAGGTCCAGAAGCTGACCCTGGAGCTGGAAGAACAAAAGGAACGGGCCCAGCTGGTGAGGGGGCCGGGGAGATGGGCAGGGGTTGGCCTGGGCAGGTGGGGTCCGAGAAGACCCCACCCCACCTGCGGGCTCCCCCGGGGCAGGAGAGGAAGCGCCTGGAGGAGCAGCTGCTGCAGACCCAGACCTCGCTGCAGCAGCGGGAGTCCGAGCTGCAGGCCTTGCACAAGTCCTGCCTCGTGAAGCTGGCCCACTCCTCCTGGGTGGGCCGCATGCTCCGCTCGTCCACCGGCAGCGTGGAGGTGAGCCTGCGCCCCTGGGCCCGCCCTCCTGCCTCCCTTGTCCCCTCCCCGGGCCTCCTTGAGCTCCCCCCTCCCCCCGCCCTGGCCTGCCAACTTGCCCAGTCCCGGTCTGTGCTTCCTGGGGGGCTCTGGCCTGGCCTCCCTCGGGCTGCCTCCGGGCGGGGGCCTGGGACGGGGAGGCCGCAGGAGCCCCCGTCCGGCTCGCCTGACACTCGGCAAGTGTATCAGCCTCAGGTGCAGGGGAGGCTGAAGGGGAGGGATGCCCTGCCCCCCGCCCCTGCCCGCTGGCCTCCGGTCCCTCTCGCAGGTGGTGACAGCAGAGACCCTGGTGGACCCCAGCGACTCCTCTGAGAATGACGAGGCCTCCCCTGCCCGGGAGGTGAGCCCGGGGGGGACGTGTGTGTGCGTGGCCCCGCGGGGCCGCGGGAAGCGAGGGCCACATGCCTGTCGCCTCCCGACCAGGGCTTCCGGCTGGAGCATGTGGACTGGAACACCATCGCCCAGCGCTACCCCAACCTCCTCGCCAACATCAAGTCGAACTCGGATTACAAGTGACTGCACTGGGCAGGGGCTCCCGCCGGGCCGGGGGCGGGGAGGGCGGGCTCACCTGGGCGGGTGTGGACCCGAGTCCGCGTCCCACCCTCAGCGTTCCCAGACGAACCCACTGGACCCTGCGAGAGCCAGTTCACTGACCTCTGGAGCCGGGCTGGGCTCTGGGCCACCCCTGCTCTGCCACGAGCCCCTTTCCCAGCCTGGGTCCTGGGGTCCCGATCACCACTCGGGGTGCCCAGCCGGCCTTGGAGCGGGAGCCGAGCGGCCTGTGAGCACCCCGCGGCCCGCAGGCACCCCCGGCCCCGGACGCCCCCACGGCCCCCCGGGGACTCACTGCCCGAGGAGTGTGGCCTGGAGTCGAGCGGAAGACAGCACCGTCTCAAGAGTGTGGAGTGGGGCTCCGGGCCCTTCGTGGGCCCCGACAACTCCTGGGGCGCCGACGCGGACCCCCCCAGCTGGCAGCCGGAGGAGCGGAGCGGTGGGCAGAAGGCCACGGGGCACCCGATCCGCTCGCCGGGCCACATTTCTTTCCAGAACATACCGCCACCAGACAGGAGCCTCCGCAGGGACTCGGATGCAGAGCCTGAAGGTGGGGCGGGGCTGGGCGGGGCTGCACGCACTGCCCGGCGCCCCGGAGGAGGTCCTGCAGAGCCTGGCCTTCCCTGGAGCCCGTGGGGGCGGGGGTCGCTGCTGGGGCCCCTCCCGCCGCATCTGCGGGGGGTCAGGGTGGTCTGGAGGCCTCTGAGGTCTGCGCAGAGTGCCCCAAGTGCTGCGAGCTACCCCTCTGCTCCTCTTAGCCCCCAGGGCCCAGCCACCCCCTGCCCTGGAGGGGACCCCTGAGGCTGCTGCTCTCCCACGTGGACCCCCAGGGCACTGCAGGCCAGTGGGTCCCCCGGCAGATGCTCCATATGGGGGTCCCCCTTCTGAACAGGACCTCCGGAACAGGAGGTCTCTCCAGACTCCTGTGGAACCCACTCAGACCAGCCGGGCCAGGCCGCAGACGCCGACCACGGGCCTTCAGTGCACCCTTGGAGGTGAGGGGGGTGCGGCTTCGAGGAGCACAGCAGGGAGACCCCGGGGTTTCCCAGCAGGAGGGGCCCTGACCTGCCACACCCTCCCCAGCGAGACCTCCTCCTGCCTGAAGATCGTGGCCGTGAGCCTCAGCAAGGGGTTCGTCCGCATCCTCAACGAGTCCGCGGAGGAGACGGCCGACCTGGGCGGCTCCACGCTGCAGCAGCTCCAGGGCGACTTCCCCGTGCGCACCTACCGCTTCCCGCCCCACACGCTGCTGGAGCCGCAGCACCACGTCACGGTGCGCCCCACTCACCGCCAGCCCGCGCGCGCCCGCCCGTCGCCCAAGCCCCTCACCCATGCCCGGCGCTGTCCCCAGGTATGGGGGGAGGGGCCCGGCTGCACCAGGAAGCAGCCGGGCCCCTCGTCCGTGGGCCGGAAGCCTGCCCACTTTCACCCGAGCCCGAGCTTCGTGACTCTTCTCCTGAGCCCCAAGGGTGAGGTCAGTGAGGGTCCCAATGGGGGGCCAGGTGGGGTGGTTGTGGGGAGGCCTCCCTGGGTCAGGTGACCTTTGGCCCCTGCTGCCCACAGGTTTTGAGCAAGTACCAGCCCCTGCTCTGCCCGGCCCCCGCCTTGAGGATTTTCGCTGACACCGACTTGTCCATCGACCGCTTCCTACTCTCAGAGGCCCAGCCCAGGGCCGATGCTCGGCAGCAGCGGCGGCCGCCCCGACTCTCGCGCAAGCGTCGGAGGCGGGAGGCCAGGGCGCAGAGCCGGAGGCCCAGGTGGGGACCGCGCGACCCTCGGTCTCGGTCTCCTCCCCAGGCCCCGCCCCAGCCGAGAAAACCGTCCCTCAGACCCGGCAGGAGCACTCCCCACTTCCGCACGCCCCCCCCCCCCCGCCCCTCGCTAGGCCCCCCACGGGCTGGCTCCAGCCCTCGCGATTCTGTCGCCCCAGCAGGACACAGGGCCTGCCGCCGTGCTTGGCCACCAGCAAGCTCTCCAGCCTGCAGGAGGCGCCCGCGCCTCCCGAGCGCGTGGAGACCGACGACGCACGGGTGCTGCTGCCTGCCATCACGGGTCAGCGCGCAGGGATACGGAGGGAGGGCCTCCGCAGGGAGGGGGAGGCCGGCCCACACCCCCCATCACTGTCCCACACAGAGGACGGGCCGAGCCTCACCGTCTACCGGTATAAGATGGAGCCCACCGTCCGAGTGAGTGTGCCCACAGTGGGTGCCCGGGGGTGGGGAGACCGCTCCCGCCCGCCCCGCCCCTCCACCTGGCCTGCCTCTCAGGGCCCACGCCCCCCAGGTGTGCCGGAAGAGCGTGGACCGGGGCTGCCCGATGGTGGCGCTGTCGGTGCAGAGCAGGGCCAACAGCAGGTTCCGCTTACCCGGCTGCCCGCCCATCACCGTGGACGCGTGCAGGCGGGTGTAGGCCGGGCAGTCCAGGCACCTGCGCTTGCTGGCCAGCTCCGTGACACCGACGGGCCAGCGCCGGGCGGGGCGCCGGGAGGCCGCGGGGGCGCGAAGAGGCAGTGGCAGGAGGCAGGCGGTGTCAGCTGCGTAATTTACTGAACCAACGTCACCTACCAAGTAAACTGCATTTCTGTGCACCCGGAAGTCGAAGGTGATTCTCTTGGTCTCCAGACTTCCCGCCCCAAGAGGACGAACCTAGGCGTCCGTGGGGATGGGAGGCCTGGCCCCACACTTCTGTGTCCAGGGCAACTGCCCTGGGGGCCTGGGACCACAGTGCCCCTGCGGTGGCCGGGGGCCCTGCCAGGAGTGGACTGGACAGCTCAGCCGTGGAAGAAGTGGGCAGCCAGGCCGTCCTGGGCTCTCACCCACTTCTCCCCAACAACAGGGGCCTCTCCTGGTCCCGCCCACCTCCTGTCCCAGGACACCCTCCAGACGCTCTGGGTGTCCGGAGGCTGCTCAGCCAAGCTGGGGCGCTCGTGGCCAGGGTCCTGGCCAGCTGGGCAGTGGGCGGGGGCTTCCGCTAGGGGTGGGATTGGGCTGGCGTGATCGGGTTCAGGTGCGGCAGGCACCTCAGGGCCGTGGGTCTGGCTGCGGCTGCGTCTGGTGCTGCCTTTGGGCCCAGACATCCTGGGGCTCGAGGGCTCGGTCCGGAGGCCAGCTCCAGGGCTCTCAGAGCGGCCACTGTGGCCAGCCCCTGACCGAGGCCAGGCCCCGAGCCGCCCAGGGCTCGGAGCCGACGCCCCCGGAACTGCAGGTCTTTGGACGTCCAGCAGCTGCTGTTCGAGTCAGGTGGCATGGGGACCTTGGGGGGAGAGGGGAGCAGGTTATAGCCCCAGGTCCTAGAAGGCTCTGGAAAGCAAGGAAAGGGGTTGTCAGACCTGGGGGGGTCCCTCCAGGAACTGCCAGGCAGGGGCCCCCCCGCAGGCAGAGCTGCAGAGTCCACTGCGGCCCCTCCCCTGACCCTTCACCCCCCGCAGCACCTCCCCGCCCCCCTCCCCGTGCTCCCAGGGAAGCCCCTCCCTCGTCAGCACCCCCTCGGACCCTCACTTGAGCTGGAGTCAGCTCCAGGGAGGCGCAGGCCACAGGCCCGCGCTCTGGCTTTGGGTCACTGGGGCCTGCTGGAGGGCAGTGGCCCTTGGCCGCGTCCTAACACTCCCCTGTATATAAGGCCCCGGCACCTGCCTCAGGGCCGACTGGGCAGGGCCGCCTGGCACCCACCTGGACCCAGTCTGGAATGGGAGGCCCTGAGTCCCCACCGTCTGCCCCCACGCTGGCCGCCACTGCGGGCTGCCCCGCCTGCCGCTCACCCGCCACTGCTCCACTAGGTGGCTGGCCTTTGACCCCCCAACTACCTGATCTCAGGGCCCACCCTCTCTGGCCCCTCCCCCAGGCACCTGGCCCTGGCCCTCGATGGGGAGGGCACAGGAGGGTCGCTGGCAAACCTTCAGCCTGTGCTCCTGCTTACCATGCCCCTCCCCGGGGCACCCCCCTTCCACCAGCTGGACGAGACCCCTCCTCCAGGAAGCCTCCCTGGGCCGCACGGGGTGAGGGGTGTGGTTCCGCTGCACAGCTGCCTGGGCTGGCCCCGCTCAGCTGCTGTCACTCGGAAGCCCGCATCCCTGGGGAAGGGCCCCCGGCTCACTGGCCAGTTCTGTGGCCTGAGTCCAGCTCAGGCCCTGTCCGCCGGACAGAGGGAGGCACCCTGCCCTGCCCACACCTCCTGCCCACCCGGTAGGCTCTGTCACTCGGCTGGCACCTGGCCCTGGGCCTGTCCTGCTCACTGGTCCTGGCCTCTCATGGCCCCTGCCGCTGGCCCTTTGCTGGCTGCCTTCTTTCTGTCTCTCGTCCATCCCTGGTGGCCTCGTGGTCCCATGGGCTCAGGGGAGGGGCACCTGGAATTGTCCCCTCTGTTCTGAGCCCCCCACCCACAGGAGATGACCTCCAGGGGCCACAGCCACTCTCTGAGCCTGGGGAGTGAGGGCCCGTGCTGACCTGGCGTGGGGGCGGGGTCTCTCTCAGTACCTGGGGCCAGACTTGGGGAGTTGGGGGAAGTCCTGGGCCCTGTCCCATCCTGTTGTTCTTCGAGGCCCCTCTGTGAGCCCCGGGGGGCTGCTGCTCCTTCCGGCCCGGAATTCAGGTGCCTGGGGGAGGGGAAGGGGAGAGGCTGCAGCCCTGCCCCACTGGGAGCCAGTCCCAAACGTGTGGCTCTGGGATGGTGCCCAGCCTCAGGTCCCCGTGACCGGCTCCTCCAGCCACCCTGGAGACCAGGGACCCCCCAGCCAGGGCCCCCACCGGACAGGACGCGCGGCAGGCTCAGTGCAGGGAGAAGCACCCACCGTAGGCGCCGCTGCCCCCTCCACGTCCGAGGTCCAGCTGCGGCTGGGAGGTCACCGCTCTCCGCAGGGCCAGGCCCCGGGGTGGAGGCCCGGGCGACCAGGTCTTCCAGCCTGGGTGGGGGCAGCTGCTCTGGGGGCACTCCGGCCTGAGTGGGGAAAGGGCTGGTTGGGGTGCGTGGCCTTGGAGGGGCTGGGGGGCCGGCGGGCTGAGCGGAGAAAGACTCTGTCGGCTGCAGGGGGCATGGGGTGGGGGGGCTGGCCCTGCAGTGGCGATGGCTCGGGGCCGGGACGCTGTCCACTTGGAGGGGAGCCCAGGATGCTGGCCCGTTTTGGGGGCTGAAGCCGAGGATGCAGGTGCACAGTGCCAGCCCTGGGGGCCCGGCCCCCGGGGGGCAGGGCATACCTGGCACCGGTGCTGACGCTCCCGGAGGCCTTTGGTGGGGTTCCCACAGAGGACCTGGCCCGCACCTGCAGAAGAAGGTGTGCTGGGCCTGGCCGGGGCTCAGGGGCTGCAGGGTGGGCCTCCTGCCCAGGGGGGTCAGTTACCGTGTGTGAGGTCACTGGCGTCGTCCTCCAGGGCCGGGTTCTTGGGGTGCAGACCTTCAGGCGGGGGACCTCCCGGGACCAGGAGGGAGAGGGGCCAAGGCCTGGGAGCCCTGGGCACGGGCAGGGACCGCTCGGGGCCGAATCTCCGAGTGGGGTCTCCGTGGGGGCCGTCTGCCCAAAGGTTAGAACTGGAGGTCACCAAGGACCATGCCAACTAGCCAGCCCCAGAGCCCCCAAGACTTTCCCACAGACCAGGGACCCCCTCCACCCACGTGTGGGACCTCCTCTTTCTCTCTGATGGGGGGTGCCCCCGGGGAGGCGTGCTGGCCAGGGGGGCAGGTGTGCAGGGCCCTGGGGTGGGCGGTTAAGGCAGGGAAGGGGCGTTACATGAGACCGTCCATTTCCGCGAGGCCTGGGGGTGGGGGGCTGGTGGGAGACAGCTTTGGTCTTGGGGCGGCTGTGGGGTAGAGGCGCCTCAGGGAGCTCAGAGGGCGAGATCACCAGGCCGGGGGTGGGGCAGCCCGTGCCAGAGGCCCGGCGGGCGGGCGGCGGCCGTACCCAGCCTGGGACGCAGGCTGTCCAGGATGCTGCCCTCCTTGATGGCCTCCTTCACCATGAGCCAGTCCTGGTCCAGCTTCCGGGAGGCTGGCAGACCTGTGTGCGCGGCGGGCCTCTCGTCCAGGACCTGCAGCTGGGGGATGAGCTTCCTCACCTCTGCCCTGTAGTTGTAGCCCTGGGGCGCCTGCAGAGCAGAGAGGGGTAGCAGGCCTGGGGCTGCGGGCCCTTCAGCCAGCTCTGTCCTGGGGCTGCTTTGCCAGGCCCACTGTGGGGCGTGACCAGGGAGCCGGAGCGGTGGGGCCCACCCGCCCTGCCAGGCTGCCTGGGCCAGTCTTGGGCTCCAGGGGCTTCAGGGACACTGGGCTCTCACCCACACTGTCCAGGTTCATGGCCAGGGTCCAGCAGAGCCCTCTGGCCTGTGCAGCCACCCTGAGCTCAGAGCCCTGGCCCAGGAGGCCAGAGCAGCAGCTGCCAGGGCGGGTGGTGTGAGCTCCCACTGGCCGTGGGTGTGCACAGGCTTGTGGGGGTGGGGCAGCTCGGGACCGGGCCTGCGTGCATGCGTGTGTGAGTGGGTACACACGATTCCGCAGCACAGGGCACGTGTGGGGTTTGGTCCCAGCCTGGAGGACACGCTGGCAGCTGCCGGGCCTCCGGCGGCAGGAGAGAACAAGGCTGCGGCAAACGGCGGTAGCGTGCTGGCGACCCCCCCGGGCACAGGAGAGCCAGGGGCCGGAACCACAGGGCACCGCCCCTCCCTCGCCCACCACACGCACCTGGTCGGAGGGGCGTGGCCGCAGGCACACCAGGTTGCCCTCCAGGGTGAGCGTGGCCAGCCGTGGGCACAGTTGCAGGTAGCGCACCTGCCCCAGGTCCTCCACGCCGTTGCCCTCCAGGTCCAGCACCTCCAGCTGCTCGAGCAGGCACAGCGGGCTGAGGTCCGAGAGGTCGTTGTAGGAGGCGTACAGCTCCTGGGCAGCACGGGGGCCTCAGCCGGGGCCTGGCCGGGCGCCCTCCCAGCCCTGGGTGCCACAGACCCACCTGCAGGGCCGGGAAGCAGCCGATGCCGTCCAGGTCGGCCAGGCCACAGCGAGCCAGCCACAGCACCTGCAGGTGGCCCAGGGAGGTGCCCAGGTCTCTGTGGAGGGCAGGGTGGGGTGGTCAGTGCTTCTCTGGGGAGGAGAGCTGGGCTGTGGCCACCATGGCCTGGTGCTGTGCATCGTGCCAAGCCATCACCCACATCGAGCCGTGTCCAGGTGCAGGGGCAGCTGTGAGTGTGGCTCGAGGCAGCCTCTGGGCCGAGGAAGGGGCTCCCTGTCTTTCCACTTCGCGGCAGCCCCTGGTCTTGAGCGGCAGGATGCCCTGCACCCTCTCCTCTCCCCGGAGGGCCCTGGCACCGCCGGACAGGGGGCTCCGCGAAACCCACTTTGCTCAAAGCCAGAGATGGGTCCAACTTTCCTGAGCTGTGCCCTTCGCAGCCCCTCAGGGCAAACAGGGACCGTCCACCCGCCCTAAGTCTCGAGTTTCACCTTTTCACCCGATGGTGGGCGTGCTGCTGTGCCAGTCGCCTCTGCCTGGTGAGGCCGAGCCATCCGCTCTGCTCACGGCACACCCACGGCCCTCCACGCGACCCCCCCACTCTGCCCTTCTCGGCGCCAGGACGCTCCGAATCCTCAGGCCTTGCTTGGTGTTGGGGCGCCCAAGCCCCCCCCACAGGTTGGGGACCCTTGACCCGAGGTCTGTGGGCGCCTTCGGGCACTACACGGTGGGTCCTTGGAGAGCCCGTCAGCCACACGACCCGGCGAGAGGGGCCTGACCCCGAATGCAGGCCCTGGTGTCTCCCTCAGCAGGTGCCTCTGACGGGGGTGGGGGGTGGGCATCAACGCCAGCCAGGCAGGAGGGGCGCCTCGGGCCGGCAGCTGGACCGCAGGACAGCCAGGGGTCTCTCCATGGGGACCCACCCAGTTGAGACCGCGCCCTGACTGAGCTCACCCTTCAACCCCGCGGGACCCTGCCCCTGTCCCCACCCCTGGGGTCCCCGGGACGGCCACTCACCTCACAGAGCCCAGGCGGCTGTCACTCAGCTTCAGCTGGCTGAGGTTGGGCAGGTGCAGCCCTGCGGGGCCACAGTGAGGGGTTGGGGGCAGGCCCAGCGACCCCCTCCCCAGCTCCCTGTGCCCTGCTGCCCTTGGCCCTGCCGCCTGGTGGCTGCTCTGAGGCCCAGAGTGACTGTTCCGTCTACGGCCAGGCCCAACGGAAACACATGGAGCAGGTGCAGAAGGTGCACCTGAGTCAGCAGGGCCACATGGGGGGGGGGGCCCAGGCCCCTGGGCTCCAGGAGCTGGCTTGGAGGAGGGCAGCCAGCAGGCATGGCTGGGGCCACCAAACCCTGGGTCCTGCTGCCAGCCACCTCCCAGAGCCCACCTGTGGTCAGCCCGGTACCCCCAGACCACAGCCTCCATCAGCCGGTGTCCTGGTGCGTCCCAGGTTCCCCGAGAAAGGGTTCGGGGCTCCTGACTCCTACAAAGGACTGGGCCCTGGCCCTGGGGGACCGTGCCCCCTCCCGTCCCGGGAGAGAGGAGAGCAGGGTGGGCCTGTGGGGTGCAGAGCGGATCTGTGGGGTGGGGTGCAGGGGTCCACACCGCAGAGCCTGGCTGGCAGGCCCCAGCAGTGCGGCCAGCCTGGCCGTGACGGTGGTGGGCGGGACAGTGCGGGCTCTCACCGAAGTTGCCCAGGCTGTGCTCGCGGGTATCGACACACATCTCTAGCACGGTGACCAGCCGGAGGTCGTCCACCTGGGCCAGGGTCCGCTGCGGAAACCCGTGGGGAGTCAGCCCGGAGCACTGGACAGTGGTCCCTCCCTCCCCAGACCCTGCTCAAGGCCACTCTTGACTCATTCCCGCCTGGCCTGGGAGGCTCCTGGTGTGTGGTGCTGGGCAGCTGAGGCCAGGCCCCCTCTGGCCCCAGCAAAGCGCCCTGGCGGTCACTGCCTGCCGGACTCCACTCCTCACTCTTCCTGGGTGTAGCCAAGCTGGACCCAGCCCCACCCTTTCCCGCTGTCCAGGGTGGGGCTGCAGAAGGACCAGAGTGAGCTGGTGGGTGCGCCCCTCTGGTGGACAGCTGCCTGCCGGACGGGGCAGAGGGGAGGAGTGGGCACCGCAGGCATGGCTGGAGGGTCACATAAGTGTCACTGAGCGGCCAGCAGGGGGCATGGTGCGAGTGTCCTGTCCACCTGCAGCGGCCAGAGAGCTCGGACCCTTGTCTGAGTTGGCCAGGAAGGTTGGTGGGCCCCTCGGGCAGCGAGGCTGCATGCTGGTGGCACATCACTGAGCGTCCCCGAGGAACGCTGTGGGTGTAAGCGGGGTGCAGCGAGGCAGGGCCCAGGGTTGGCACGGTCCGCCCCTCACTGCGGCCAGCGGTGGGCAAGAGGTGGGCCAGGGAGGGAGGTGGGGATGCTGGGAGGTGCAGGGCTGCCCAAGGGGGTTGTGGGTGGGGATCTGTGGCCAGAGGACTCTGTAGAACCCACAGGCTGAGGGTAGGGGGTGGGGGTAACAGTGAGCTCCCCCCGAGATTTGGGACAAAGCCTTCAGCAGCCACCCAGAGGTGATGGGTGTGATGCTAGCAGGTCGTGATGTCATTCATCTCCCTCGCTGCGTGCCCTGCAGGCCGCATGCCTGGGCCTCAGCCACCCCGTCTCCCACCAGTACAGATGAGTGGTGTCCCCTTGCGTTCACAGAGTGGCCCCGAGAGCCTAGGGCATGGTGGGTGCTCATTAAATATCGAGGAGTTCCTGCCTAGCTCAGCCCCTGTCGTGGCCTGAAGACCTGGGGGCCCCCTGTTTCCCCAAGCACCTGGGGTCAGTCCTGAGGGTGGGGCACACACGGGGGACAAGGCCAGTGGGGCCAGGTCAGAGGGCAGGCCAGGCACCAGCCCAGCACGTCATGCCACGCAGGCCCCTACAGCCTGGGTTCCCAGCCCCCGAGTGCCCCGCACTCACCAGTCGGGCGGGGGACAGGCACTCCTCCACCAGCCGCTTGCCCAGGCCTTCCCTGCCGTCTGGGTCCTTGCTCTGCGGGCGGGGGTTGTGCAGGCCCTGCCAGCTCAGCTCCCGCACCTGGATGCTGGCCGTGCTGGGCCGAGGCCCAAGGGCCCTGTCCTGGGTCTTGTCCATTCACATCCAGCCTGCGGCACAGGCACAGGGGTGCTCAGCGTGTCCCCACACATGGCCCCGGGGCCGGAGAGGGCTCCCAGGTGCCCTGGCCTGCTCTGCCTGCCTGGGGGCCTCACCGTCCCCTTCCTGGGCTTTGGCTCATACCCCTGCCTGGGTGGGCCACCCTCCCTGTATTTCTTCAGAGCCCACAAGAGGGGAGTGGGCTCCAGACCACGTTTGCTTAGCTGTCCACCGTGACCGGCAGCAGGCCGCACCGCCCCGGGCCCTGTGCTGTGCTTTCCCCGCCTGATGGTTTCTGAGCCTGAGGCCCCAGGACCGGGGTCTCGGGCATTTGGCCCACCTGCCCCGGTGCCCACCGAGGCCCCTCACCCGCAGGCAGAAGCCTTTTCCTTCAGTGGGTCACACATCCGGGCGCGGGGGTGGCATGTGGCCTCAGGCGGTACCTGCAAGAGAAAGCAGGTTGGCCGGGCCCTGGCCCAGGACGAGGCGGGAGCACAGGACGCAGGGGCTGTCGGCCTCAGCCCTTTCCACCACCCTGACGGCAACCTGGCCTGGCCGGGGGGCCAGGAGACAGCCAGGTGGGCCAGAGGGGCTGGGGTTCTTCCAACGCCGGTGCCTGGTTTTTGTTCCAATCCCCACTGGCCCCAGACCTTGGAATCACCTGGGGGGCCAGCCCCACGAGTCTGCCTACGACACCCTGGCCACCTCCCTCCATCTTGCGTGGAGGCTCCCTGACCCCCAACCCCCCACCCCCATGCTCCCTACCACCCTTCCTGGATGGACCGTCCTTATGAGACTGGCCAGTCTACAGCCCTCTGTGGTTTACGCCTTGTTGGGTTGAGCGGGCTCCTCGCCCCGAGACAGGCGGGCTCTGTGTGGGCAGGACGCCCACCGTACACCACAGGGGCTCTGGGATGCTGGCCCAGGAGCTCGTGGTGCTACCGTGCCTGCCTGCCAGCCCCTGGGGACACTCAGGATTCGTCGCGGTTGCAGACCCCCAACCCGGCCCTCGAGAGGCCGGGCTGTGTGGGGGTGCTGGGCCCTGAGACACGCTGCCCAGGCCCCCAGTGCCTCAGGGCCCTTATCTGGAAGGGGACCCCCATGGGGAAAGCCCACGGAGGCCTGGGTTCTGGAGGCGAGCCTCGCCCGACATAGAGTCTCTTGGAGCCTCTGGCCAGGGTTTCTTTCCAGAAGCTCCCTCTGCCGCCGCCTCTCTCCAGCCGGTGAATGGAAGGCCCCAGGCCTTGCAGGAGGGCCCCACCCCTCCACCCCCTGGGAAGAGGCTGCCCACGTTTACCCCAGGCCTGCCAGCTTCGGGCCTTGGAGGGGGCGTGTGGGCTGGCCGGGTTCTGTTCCCGGGGTCCCGCAGGCAGTTCTAAGGGAAGAGCCTGAGGTGCCGCCCTGGACCAGGCCCCAGGGATCTGTCCGGTCTGGCCCAAAGGTCTTGGGGCCCAAGGAGCGGGGCTGTGGCTCCCATCCCTGCACTGTCCCCTCACGACGCTGTGCCGCCCGAGGCTGCACACACTGTTCACGGCCGCGTCCACGTGGCCCTGCCACCCTCCGTCTCTGCAGCCCAGGCTGGCGCCAGCCCCTGGCCTGGCTCGGCACTGCTCGGGGTCCCCTCCAGCACTCCATCCCTCACCACTCGGGGAGAGGCTCTGAGGTCAGGGTCTGTTCCCCTCCAAGTCGCCACCATGGAGACCCTCCCACCCCAGAGTCTGTTTCCTGCCTCATCTCCCCCGGGGGGCAGGGCTGGGGCCCTGCAGTCCCAGTGACGGGGCCCTCTTACAGCATGGCCAGGGGCTGCAGGCAGGGTCCTCAGGGAACCCGATTTGACATCTGGGGATATCACGGGGTTCCTTCCCCCCTGGCTTTGCTGCTTAGTTCTCACGCCTCAGTTTCCCCTCTGGCCCCAGTAAGATAGTGAAGCCTGAAGCCCAGGACTCAAAGGCGCCCTCGGCTCTCACCTGAGGGCTCTGCCCCCGTGCCCCGGCCTTGCGGGCTCGGCCCTGGGCGCCCTCTGCTCTCTCCCATACGAGGTTGTTCTTCCGGCCGGGAGGTTGCAGGACTTGGACGCCATGGCAACGGGGGGCAGGACCTCATTTGAATAATCAAATATTCATGAGCCATGGAATCACCCCAGCACCACCGGGCCGAGCCACACCTCTTAGCAATGGTTGCTATGGCAGGCCAGAGGGGGCAAGGGCAGGGCAGGGGGCGAGAGCACGGCCGCGGGCGGGGGGCCCCCCGGCAGGGGCTGCTGGGCTCGCGCGTGGGCGCCACGCCAGCTGCAGTGGAGAAGAGACGCCATCAGGCGGGGGGGGGGTGGGCGCAGATCCTCCAAGTGTCAGCCCCCAGCAAGGGCGATCTGTAGTGGACTCTCGCCCAACCTTCCTAGGCGTGAGGCCCCCGGGAGGGTCATCCGGAGGGCGAGATTTACCTCCACCAGCACGTGAGGCCGAGGCCACGTTAAAAGGATGAGCCGTGGGGAAGGACCCCCTGGGGATGGAAGCGAAGGCCTGGATACCTGGAGGACAGGCCAGGTCCGCGCCCACAAGGGACGCCGCCGCTCGGTTTCATTGATCAGCCTTTAGTTAGCGTCCACGCGCATCTGGAGCGATCGGGATGTGTTCCCGCGCGGCTCAGTGCACGGCCCGGCCATCCGGACACCACCACAGCACCTGGGGTTGGTGCCGTCGTGGGGGTGGGGGCAACCCCCCAGGGGCGCGCCAGGGTCACGGCTCGCAGTGGGATGAGCTCAGGGGAAGGGCACCGGAGCCTTAGCTGGAGGGGGCCTGGTGGAGAGGGGTGGACGGTGGTGGTTGAGCCTTACATTGCACTACACCTTTCTTGTAAATAGGGTGTTTATGCGTTACTTTAAAAATTTAAGAAATGTTAAAACATGTCTTTCTTAGAGTTTTCAAAGAAGCCAGTTTTGTACACGTGTGTGCTTCAGGTGAGGGAGACTTCACAGTCCAACGGCGACTTTTGCGTTGGATTTGTGGGGCATCGTTTGTTAATCGGGCCACACAGCGAGCTTCTTCTGCAGGTCTGGACCTCCGGGTCTGGGGGAAGCGGAACGGGGCGGGCCGGCAGCTTGTAGGGCCTGTCCAATTTGGGAGAGGTTAGGGGCGAGAGGGTGACAGGCTGCGCACGACGTGAGGTGTAAGTTCCCAGCCGGACTCGCTCGTCCGCGGACTCAGATGCCCCTGCTCAGCCCAGGCGCTCCAGCACCGCCTGCCCCTGGGCGCGCAGCCGTGCCCCGCCCAAGCTGCCAGGCGTCCTGGTGGGGGAGCAGCCGTCCCGGAGCCACCTGCGGGGAAGGGGGTGCAGGGCAGCCGTGTCCCCTGCCACTGAGGATTCCAGGCTCCTGGCGCAGTTCCAGCCTGCTCCTGGCGCCCGACCCTCGATCTGGCGGCCCCTCCGCCTTCTCCAGCCAGAATCCTGCAGGGCGCCCGTGGTACTGACCCTGCGGGCTCCGCCCTCCCTGAGGACTGTTTCTTCCGTTCTCGGCCCATCGGTGGGCTGCGAGGCGCAGAGAAGACCTCCGAGGGCGCAGGCGCAGCTGTAGCTGCGCGCGCCAACGAGGTGCCGAGGAGTTCGGCGCGGGGGCAGGAGCAGCTCAAGGGCCTGGAGCGGGGACCCCAGCGACCCCGCCCCAGCCCACACCCGGGAGCCGACTCGCTCTTCCGCACATCCTCTATCTCTCTGGCCTGGGAAAGTCCGGGCCTTCCTTCTCGGAGAAGTCGTTGGGTTGGGACGCTCGGCTGGAGCCCCGCACCTCCCCTCCCGCGCCGGCGGCAACACCTCCCCCCCGTCCCCGGGCCACGGCCCACGAGGGCCAACTAGCCCGGCAACGCCCTCCGCGCCTTCCGCTCCCGGAAGCCCCGCCCGCCGCGGCCTCTGAAGGGCGGGCCCCTCGGCCAACCGGAGCAGAGATAGGCGGTTCTTGGTTTGAGTCCGGAGGGCACAACCAATGGAAGGCCGCGCTGGGCTGATGGACAGGCGCAGGGCGGCGCGTGCGCGAGCCCGGGCGAGTGTCCGCCGCCCGCGCTCGCGCCCGCTGCCCGCAGCCGGAGCCGCACCCGCCGCGGACGGAGCCCATGCACCCGGGGAGCCGCGCGCCCCGGCCCCCTCCCCCGCCCGCGCCGGCCCCGGGGGCAGTCGCACCAGTGAGCGGTGAGTGCGGTGGGGGGCGGCCGCAACGGGTGGGGGGCACTGGAGTCGGGACGGTGGGGCAGAGCAGCTCGAGGCGGGGAGTCCCCGTCCTCGCGGGGTGCGCGGGGGCGCAGGTGAGCCGCGGGCGGGGCGCTGCGGCTGGGGGCCGGGGTCTGCGGGCGGCGGGGGCCCTGGGTGTGCCTCGCCCTGGTCAGCTGCTCGCGTTCCGTGTGCCTGGCCCTGTCCTCCTTGGGGTCCCCAAGTGCCCTCAGGCGGTGTGTGGTGTCCCCTGCGCCGAGGCCCGCCGGTGGCCATGCTCTAGGCGGGGTCTCCCACCCTCCACAGTCCCCAGGACCCCTTCGAAGAGCTGGAGCGTAGCGGGCGAATCTGAGGTTTAGGAAGTCTTACGTCCTCACCAGGGCACCCCTAATTAAACGTCAGAAATTGGAGACACCCCAGCTGGGGCCTTGGCCTGGGGCCCTTTTTCTTTCCCACCTGTCTCCCTGCTCCCACACATCCTTGGGCCTTTTCCTGTTGGTCTACCTGTGCTTTCTGGAACCCTTGGCCCACTTGGCCTCCTCACCTGCCTTGTTTTCTCCAAAGTTCCCAAGGCAGGTGGACACCACAGGTCTCCCTTCATTTTAACCGTGTGGGTCTCCTCCCCAGAGCTATGCTGAATCCACAGTCAGGGGGCTGGGTTCTTTCTCTGCCCGTCACCCGGTGCCTGCAACAGCTCCTGGCTTCTAGTAGGTGCTCAGTAGTGCTTGTCAAGTGCACCCACATGCCCGGTGGGGCCTGGAACCGGTTGCCGGTTGACACCGGCCTGCCTGGGCACGTTGCTCTGTACTCCACTGTGGCAGGACCTGTTCTTGGTGGGGGGGGGGGCACTGGTAACCTCAGCCCCAGGCACCTCCAGTTCAGGCTTTCTGCCTACCCAGCAAGTTCTAATTTGGGTGCGTGGTAGGGAGGTACTCTCAGCTGTCAGCCCTGCCTCTCCGGGGGCCGGCTTCCTGCCTCTCACACGGTCACTTCGTGAGGCCAGAGGCGGGTCCCGTCCCCCCTCCCCCGCCCCCCCCCAGCTGCAGGAGCCGCAGGTGAGTGGTGGACCATCCTTCTGGCTCCGCGCCTGTTACCTGGATGTTGGGGCCTGGGCGCGGCTGATGGGGCTTCCTGTGCAGGTGGGACGGAGGACCACCACGTTGCCGGGTGCTGCAGCGCCTCCAGGAGCCATGACGGAGTATAAGCTCGTGGTGGTGGGTGCTGGGGGCGTGGGGAAGAGCGCCCTGACCATCCAGCTCATCCAGAACCACTTCGTGGACGAGTATGACCCCACCATCGAGGTGAGCAGGCCGGCCCCTCACCCCAGCCCCGCATCCCCAAGTGGGCCAGGCCTCTGCCTGCTGTGTAGGAGGGTCCCCTCGGCATAGGGCCTGAGACGCCAGAGGTGTGGGCAGGGCTGGTGGTGCTGATGCCCCGTCCTCGGAGGGGGCACCCCTGAGCAGTGTCCTCCCGCAGGACTCCTACCGGAAGCAAGTGGTCATCGACGGGGAGACGTGTCTGTTGGACATCCTGGACACGGCCGGCCAGGAGGAGTACAGCGCCATGCGGGACCAGTACATGCGCACTGGGGAGGGCTTCCTCTGCGTGTTTGCCATCAACAACACCAAGTCCTTCGAGGACATTCACCAGTACCGGTGAGCTGCCCGCCATGCGCGCATGGAGGCCGCCCCGTGCTCGCTGTGCGCCTGGGTGCAGCCCTGCCTGCAGCTCACTCACGCCTTCTTCCTTGCAGGGAGCAGATCAAGAGGGTGAAGGACTCGGATGACGTGCCCATGGTGCTGGTGGGGAACAAGTGTGACCTGGCCGCGCGCACGGTGGAGTCTCGGCAGGCACAGGACCTCGCCCGCAGCTACGGCATCCCCTACATCGAGACCTCGGCCAAGACGCGCCAGGTGAGCTGGCTCCCGCCCTCAGGTAGCCAGGGCCCCGCCCCACCCCGCCAGGGATCCTTGCTCACGGCCCCTCTCCCTTGACACAGGGCAGCCGCTCTGGCTCTGGCTCCAGCTCCGGGACCCTCTGGGACCCTCCGGGACCCCCGTGACCCAGCGGCCCCTCGCGCTGTAAGTCTCCCGGGACGGCAGGGCAGCCAGGGAGGCCAGGGCCGGGGTTTGGGCTGAAGGACCTCTAGGGGGAGGGGGAGGTCCCTGGAGAGAGCTGTCTTGAGCCGGGCCAGAGCGGTGACCCTGGGGCCCCAGCCCCGCTGCCCCCAGCATGCTCCTAATCCCTTAGTGGGCTTTTGGGGACAAGGGCAGTAGCTTGGAAGGGAGCTGGACACAGAGCGGTCGAGCTCCGAGCCAGCCCCGGGGCAGCGAGAGGAGCAAGGCAAGGCTCCTGGTGTGCGGGTGGGTGGGGAAGGGCACAGGGGCTCCTCCCCGCTGGGCCCTCAGGCCAGGCCCCCTCTGAGCGGCCCCTCCTCCGCAGGGCGTGGAGGACGCCTTCTACACACTGGTGCGTGAGATCCGGCAGCACAAGGTGCGCAAGCTGAGCCCACCGGACGAGGGCGGCGCCGGCTGCATGAGCTGCAAGTGCCTGCTGTCCTGATGGCCGCGGCCGCCTGCACCGGCGTGGGCCCCGGAGGCGCCGGGCGCTAGGAGGACGGGAAGGAAGGCAGGAAGTGCTGCCGGAGCCTGGCCAGCCCGGGGTCAATGGACAGAGTGACCGCGGACCTCCCAGGACACTGTGCACAGACTGGCGTGAACTGAGGCCGCCGGCACCCCCGTGTGCCTCTGCGTGCGGCCCCGTCCCGGCCCCCGGGGCGCGGGCTCGACTGCAGTAAATTATTGGATGGTCTTGACCCGGTGTGTGGCTGAGGCTGGGCAGCCGTGGTGGTG